TGTCACTGTCCTGCCTGCTCCACGCGAGTGACGCTCCTCTCTGTCACTGTCCTGCCTGCTCCACGCGAGTGACGCTCCTCTCTGTCACTGTCCTGCCTGCTCCACGTGAGTGACGCTCCTCTCTGTGTCCGTCCTGCCTGACCCACGTGAGTGACGCTCCTCTCTGTCACTGTCCTGCCTGCTCCACGTGAGTGACGCTCCTCTCTGTCACTGTTGTGCTCGCATCTCTCTGCCTCTAATTCATGATTGCAGATCAAGATAAACAATTTTCTGCAGCATTTATGACAGGATCAGTCTTTTCCTATGGTTATTTATGGCCTATTTAATAATCCCTTGATCTTTCATAATTTTTTTACCCCTGAAGTACACTCCATAGTATACTTCAATACTCGTGAATAATTTAGTAAAAGATGTTACCAAAATATTATTGACAAATAAATACAAAACTTTCCGTGCAGCACTGGAGGAGACAATTAGAATTGCGAGGGCATTTTGTGTAACTGACCGGAGTCATGAATTGTAAATAGACAAAGTTTTGTGAATGATGCCTCGTGCCTCTTATATCCTACATATTCATCTAATGTAACCTCTCTAAATACGTCATTTAATCTACTTTCATAAAACAGCCGTCTGTTAAATGGGGAGGTCATTGCTGATTTAACGAAGTTGGTTGTCATTTGTATAAGATTAAGGTTAATCAAAGGTGAGGTCAAAACCACACAAACATATGTACCCATGTCAGTTTTGATAAATCAGTACTATACAGCCAGAACATCTTTATGATATTTCATTTTGGCCTATATCCAGCTGAACACAAACATGTTGAGGTTATTTACATACATTATTGAGTATGCTTGCTAAATACACCACTGTAATCAGCTCCTGCAGCTTGGACAGTTACCTTTGGGAACTGAAGTAGCACTTTCAGAGTTAGTTATGGCATCTGATCAAACTTTGAATGACTGCGACACAACCAGCTGTGACACACGACTTAAATGACAATTTACTCATAAATATGCAACATGAGGTATGAACACTTCTTGTCTGCAGATGTTTTATCTTCCTGGGGTACATTACTTCATTTTTGCCATAACTTTTCTAGCATAAATTTCCACAAAAACACTTCCTTGAAAACACAAATTTATGTCCATTAAAGTTCAATACTTTCTTGCTTTTTAAAATAAAAAATAGATTTTTAGGTTCTAAAGAGTGTGCATGATACATTGCCTTTATAAACATTCACAATGCCTATGTTTATAAGGGAAGCTTTTCCCTTATATATCAATAAACATCAGTGAAACATCTGTCAAATTCCAGTGACAGTCAGGATGTAAGAATGCATGAAACACCAAAATAAAAGAGAAAATAAATCAGAGGTGCTTGATTAAAAAAATCATAAGAATTAATTCTGGACAATTTAAAAATAGCCTATGAAAACTTCGCTTGGACAAGCCATTTAATTTTAAGCCCCAAGTGAATTCCAAAAAACTTTCTAAGTGCTAATATACATCCTGCGATGGGGAAAAGCAAGTCTTTCTAGGGTCAGCAATCAGACGGAACTCATTGAAATTCCTAGGCACTGATAACAGTGTACTGTACATGCATGAACTAAAATAGATGCTTTTAAGAATCCTCTCATATCTCTAAATTCTGACCGCCACATAAAAGTTTTTTTCAATTCGTTAGCGAGCTTAAAAAGATTTAAAATAATAACACAATAATGCATAAATCGAATATCAAACATGTATTAACAACAGATATCTGTAAACAACCACAAATCTGTACAAAGAATAGCAGGAATATAGGCCTACTTGATGGAAACATATGGACAGAACAACATTTTAATATTACCAATATATTAATTTAATAAAATGTTCCCTGCATCAGTAGTCGTTTTATAACAGGTCTTACTTTTTCAGACATTTGGGACATTCCCTGCATCACTAATTGGTTCTATTTTAATATCTCAAACTGCTTTCTACTGAATGGTGGCTTTTATTCTTCATAAACCAGAATGAGGTCAGGTAAAGGAGAAAACGTGTGTCTAGAACATACACTTGCAGGCGCAACCCAGAGTAAATTCAAAGCAAAACACATTGACAACATTGTTGTATTATTCAAACATTTCCTGTCTGACATCAAAAACAATAACATAAGTTCTGTGTGTTGAAAATAAAACAGACTGTAATTCAGGAACTATATAGTTATACTGTATAATGTTTTATACTATTTCACCAATTTTGTGTAAATCTATGGTTGCAGAGCAGAACATTTTTCTATTGTCTATTGCTGGTACAAACAGATAATATAATCACAAAAAAAATGTATGTACTCATAATGACCCTATTTAAACATTAGTAAAAACAGCGAGCACTTGAGGCCTAAGAGTTTAGAAAAGAGAAACCAAGTTTTGGGTTTTACTTTTTAAAGGGCCCTCCAAGTAATTATAACATAAGTAATTATAGATACGCCTTGTATTACCAAAAAGAGTTTCACGAATAATGCCGGAAAACACTCCACACCTACTCTGGAGCCCTCAAATCTATGAATAATAAATATTACTAACGTGGCATTAATCTTTAAGGAGCCTTGGTATTAAGACATTGTTGGATATTGAGTTTCAAAAGCTTTCAACTGGACACAAAGAACATGTGAACACAGTTGTCACTCATTTGCTCTTCCGTTTTTTTTTTTTAACTTGATGTTGTTGCAATTTTTTTTTTGCTTGGTGGATGGAGAGTTTTACCATGTTGAATAACAGACTGAAATGAAATCGCGAAAGAAACGTTAACAATTCTATTGAACTCATAATTATAAATCATGGGTGGACTGACAATCAGAAAATGACTACTGTTTAGCCTGGTTCACAAAAAAAAAAAAACTCCTGAATTTCAGTCACCGCTGCAGAATATGCTGTAAAAATAGAATGGCTATAGGATGAGGCCTGGATACAGACAGCAATGATGACTCTCCAGTCCTGTTACATATACACTGACCCACCAGGTGATGCAGAGAGAGAAATTACAGAAAATACATAGACCGAGAGATTTAACTACTCAAGCAAAGCAAACTAATTCATTTGTTTGTTCTCAATCTCAATTTAGCTTCAGTGTACATAATTCCACTATATATATATATATATGTGTGTGTGTGTGTGTGTGTGTGTGTGTACTTCATCAAGTAGTATTGGCAGGCAGGTGCACTGACTTTTAATCAATACAAATGACTAAAGCATGTTTCGTGGATCATAATTAGTTTTCGACATAGATCTGTTCCTTATTATTGTCAAAATCACTTTCAAACGACATGCCCATTGGTGTTTAAAAGCCTGCAGTAATTGTATTCATGCTAGGTAGTAATGCTTTTCTGTACTTGCCTTTAGTTGAAGTTGTGTCAAGGAATGGACAGAGTACCTAACCCTAACCTTAGACATGGTATCACAGAGGAGAGACTGAATTTAACCAGTGACGTATCAAACCTGTACATAGCTGTCATAAAATTGATCTTTTTTTTAAATACAGAACAAGCAAGCAGGCAAGCAAACTATTTATATATCCTGTATTTTCTGCTACGACCTGTCAATGGATTCTACCATAATGCAGCGACATGTATTCAGTACCGCGGACAGCGTTGGGTAAGATCAGGGTCAAAAACCAGGGTTTTGTAATGGGTGTGCAAACCACTGATACACGAGAAATGTAAATCTAAAAAAACAGCGCTTTGTATTCTTATAGTAATGCTTTGATCTTTTTATATGCCGGAATCAATGCCTGTTAATTATTCATTAACCTTTTATGACATAAATAGTAACACATTTACCGTTAAGGGTTAGAGGAATAGAGAGATGTAATGCAAAATATCTTCCATTTTCATGGCCAGGTGAAGGGACACGCTTACGCCTCTTCCCCCCTCCCTCCTGCCTGACCGCCCCCACTACCAGCACCGACAGCACAAGCGTCACGCCGAGGCATTCATTTATCAACTATGTTGTACGAAGTGCGGATTAACTTTGTTGAAAAAAAAAATAGCTGACTAAATTTTTACGACTGTGAAACGGTTGTTAAACTACGCCTGATGAAATGAGAATGGAAAGAGAAGCGCTGCGTCCGCGGCACTAACAAAAACCTGCAATGCAACGCTGACTCAAAGGGTCGCGAAAGCAAGTTAATCGTCTGAATTCGTCCAAGATAACGCAGAACTGTCACGTTTTATCAAATTATTTGTTTGACTGAACACTTAAGTAACAGGATTAAAGATTTTAACTGTATGTTATACAAAAGAATTTCACTGCAGTATAACAAAAAAACGTGTCAAATGCTCGATATATATTATTTTTTTGTTGGGTCACGACCATAATCTAGATACTATGCGCTTCGGGAAATTCACAGGTGCAAATTTATGCTTCGTTGGAAATCATAGTTTAAAATGGTATTCAACATTTTATTTGGTTTCCAGGTTTGTTAACACATTTCCCCATGCAGTCCTCCACACAAATGGTAAATGCTGCATGAAAAACATCAAGCCACACTAAAAATTCCAATTTAATTGTTTTAATTATATGGTTCCCGGGCTGATTTCAAATGCTTTGAATGGCTTTAAATTTTAAACTGTTTCAGAGACAAATGTATTGTAGCGTAGCAGCTTTGTAAATGAGTCACACTGAATCTTCTCCCAATAATTCCATAACAATTATCGTCATGTAGCTGCTTTCACATTTCATTTGAGTACGATCCTCAATATTACCGTAAGATTATAAAAAATCTAAGGTGCAAGTAATGAAATCCTAAGGATATTACAAGTGGAACCAAATGAGATAAAGGTATTTCAACTGGTTCAGTGTTTCACAATGTGACAATTATGGGCAGACATGACATTCACCTAGGCGTTTCGCAAGGGCATGGAGCTCTGATTGATTATTATAGATTTAAACCCGTAAAATCCAAGTTGAGTGATTTTAAAAGAAGCACATTGACATTGTTTTATGTTGCATTTCTGGATTAAGAAGGGATTGCTGGTATCTGCATTGAGGGTACCGCGCACCCCTGCTGAGGACTGGATGGAAATGTGATGTGCTGCAGACTTGAGAGAAGGTGACTTTCCATGTCTTACCTAAAATCGCTGTAGGGATGAATGATCCAGTATCCGGCCGTTTGCACCCTTTCTTGCTCTTTCTCCACGGCTTTCTGGCTCCCGAACATACGCAGGGAGAACTTATTAACCCCGGGCTGCATCATAGCCCCAAACTGTCGCTGCATGAAGCCGTGTTGCCTCGACGTCCCTTCCAAATCTTCAAAGCCCACCATGGCTTCTTCCCTGTCCCCCTTAAAGCCCACCGAATTGGCGTGCTCTTTCATGTTTTGGCTCCCCGTGTTATTCTTCTGTATCGAGTCTTGCCTCTGGAAAACATTATTCCCGTCCGCTTTCTCGTCCTTGTTGCTGGAGATGGAATTGGATTTGTCTTCCATGTTTTCACGACCTGCCGACTCCCGGCTCCTGGTTCTGCGAAAAACTCGAGAGGAGCCGCTGCGAGCGATCGCGTTTCATTTGATGTCCTTCAGCTTTGCTCGGCTTCCCTGCCTCTATTTTTTTGCGAATGCAAACTGAGACAAGGGGGCTCTGGTGGATCTGTCAGATCAGCTTTCTTGGGTTACCGCCATCTACTGTTAGCATTTTACAACCTGACCCCCCGTGCATTGCGGTTTCTCTGCCAGGCAGGCGCTAGCGGGCTCTTGCGTTTCATTTCCATAAAACGTCTTATGCTATAACAGTCTCCCTATGACCAGGATTAGAGGCTGGAAGACTGATGGATGTTACATATGAATAGAGCGCAGTAAAATGAATCCGGTGTGACAGAAGACAAAGGCCAATGATTGAATCAAGATGAAAAGGACGAGGTAGTGTAGGACGTTGAAAGTTTTTACTATTCCAGAAAAAATAAAGAAAATGATGTTCTGTTAAAACAATATAAATATATTTTCTATAGTTTATGTATTTTTTAGCTTCATTAAAAATCAGTGTTGAATACAGGATACACTTAAGACAGCACTTAAGACAGTTTCTAAAGAAGTTGGGACACCGTGTGAAATGTAAATAAAAACAGAGTGCAATGATTTGCAAGCCATATAAATCCATAATTAATTGAAAATAGAACAAAGACAACATATCTGAGAAATATTCTTGTTTTATGACAAATATACTCTCAATTTGAATTGGGACAGGGGCAACGAAAGACTGGAAATGTTATGTAATACTAAAATAAAACACCTGGTTGAATGTCTCACAACCAATTAAGTTAATTCTCAACAGGTCAGTAAGATGATTGTATAAAAAGAGTCTCCCAGAGAGGCAGAGTCTCTGTGCAGTGAAGATGGGGAGAGTCTCTGTGCAGTGAAGATGGGGAGATGTTCACCACTCTGTGAAAGACTCATGGGCAAATAGTGCAACAATGTAAGAATAATGTTCCACAGCATAAAATTGCAAAATAATTATCATTAAAACAGATACTATTCTATACCAGAAATCACTGCATGGGCTCAGGAACACTCCAAAAACCATTGTCTGTAAACAGAGTTTGGCACTGCATCTGCAGATGCAGAATGAAATGTTACCATGCAAAGAAGAAACCATATCTAAACGTGATCCAGAAACTCCGGGCTCGACTGAGGCAAAATGGAAAACTGTTCTGTGGTCTGACGAATCAAAATTTCAGATTTTGGATATCATGGACGCAGTGTCCGCCTGGCTAAAGAGGAGAGGGTCCATCCAGCTTGTTATCAGTTCACAGCTCAATAACCAGCATTCATGATGGTATGGGGGTGCATTAGTGCCCATGGCTTGGGTAGCTCGCACATCTGGGAAGGGCCCGTTAGTGCTGAATGATACATACAAGTTATGGAGAAACATATGCTGTTATCCAGACAACGTCTTTTTCAGAGAAGGCCTTGTATATTTCAGCAAGGCAATGCCAAACTGCATCCTGGACCTATTAGAATAGTATAGCTCTGAGTAGAAGAGTCTGGGTGCTAGACTGGCCTGCCTGTAGTCCGGACCTGTCAGCCACTGAAAACATTTGGTGCATGAAATGAAAAATACAACGAAGGAGATATCTAACTGTTCAGCAGTTGAAATTCTGTATCAGGCAAGAATGGGACAAAATTTCACTTTGAAAATTCCAGCAACTGGTTTCTTCAGTCCCCAAACATTTACACAGTGTTGTTAAAAATAGAGGTGATGCAACACAGTGGTAAACATGCCTCTGCCCCAACTTTTTTTAAATGTGTTACTGGCATGAAATTCAAATTGAGCATATATTTCTCATAAAACAATTAATTTTTCTCAGTTTCAATATTTTATGTTGTCTTTGTTATTTTTTCTCAATAAAAAATGGGTCTGTATAATTTGCGAATCATTGCATTCTGTTTTTATTTACATTTTACACAACATCCCAACATTTTTTGATTAATCTCTCATTTATTTAACATGTACGCGTTGATATTAGCAGTGTTTAAAGTAATGTTTTTATTGATGCAATAAACTGTGCAAAATTGTTTACTGTGATGAAATTAAATCTGGGTTGTTAAGGAATGGGCAATCCATCTTCCATAACTGGTTATCCCATTACGGGGTCACGGTGACCCTTGAGCTTATCCTAGGAAGCAGGGGGCCCGAGGCAGGGGACACCTTGGCTGGGATGCACACTCCATCGCAGGGCATGCAGTCTCACACGTAGGCAATTTACAGTAATCAGTTCCAGGCCTGTACCCAGAAATAAATTATGTTCACCTTTGGTTAACACACAAGGCCAGAAGCTGGACTCAAACCCCATCCCGTCTCCATAGGTCCTGTAGTCTATAGATACTGTTTACAGTGTTGCCCAGTAACCAGTAATTAGCAAACTATTTAATTCAATCAGCTGCCATATTTCAGTATTAGCATTTTATTATTTCACACAGACATATACAGTATATATACAGACGCTCCCCGGGTTACGATGGGGTTACATTCACATAATCTTAAAGCAAAAAATATAGTAAGGTAAAAATGCATTTTAGTACAGTACACCTAACCTAAGAAACATCATAGCCTAGCTTAGCCTAACTTAAACATGCTTAAAACACTTATGCTAGCCTATAGATGGGCAAAATCATTACCACTAAGCGTATTTTATATCAAAGTGTTTAATATCTCGTGTAATTTATTGAATAATGTACTGAAAGATAAAGTAGGATGGAACTTGAATACCCATTGTAATGTCGAAATATCGTTACACAGATCATCGTAACCAGGGAGCGGCTGTGTATGTTTACATAAGTATTAAAAGCTGCAGATTCAATCAGCCTGACAATATCGATAGTCTGACTAACTATTGCTCTTAGATTAGATGAGATTACATTAGATAAACTTTATTGACCCAAGGGGGTAATTCTGGGATTTTCTTACATAATCGCCTATGGCTTACTCACTGGGGGCTTTGGGTGGGGATGCTGTAAAGCGCTTTGAGACAATGTAATGTTGTGATAACGCACTAAACAAAAATACATTTGTTTGTTTGTTTGTAATCAAATATGAGGTAACAGTAATTGGTAAAACACTGAAACACTCTTAATCAAGGACTAATAGGACTGCCGTAATAAAAAGTTATAGGCCTCAGGTAAACATGAGGCATTGTTACATTAAAAAGCTCTTAAATCACAAAATGTGATTAAAATTAAAATCCTTCTAAGAACTACTTAAAAGGCTCATGGGACTATTCATGTGGCAAGGTATATCCTTGTTTTATCAGGTAATTGAAAGACCAGCATCCCCTGGTATGGCAGACATTTTTCTAACCCAAATAACACAGCTTGTCTCCTGGTGATCACTTAAGCAGAGTATAACCATGTGACATGGCAATGTAGTGCCACACAGACACACTCGGAAATGTGTCAGAGGACATTTTTGCCCATTCATCCAGAAGAGCATTTCTGAGGTCAGGCACTGATGTTAGACGTAAAGGTTTGGCTCCCAATTTCCATTGTAGTTCGTCCCAAAGGTGTTGAGGTCAGGGCCAAGTCAAGTTCTTCCACACCAAACTCACCCAACCATATCTTCATAGACCTTGGTTTGTGCACTGGGGCACAGTCATGCTGGAACAGAAAAGGGCCTTCCCCAAACTGTTCCCACAAAGTTGGATGCATAGGATTGTCCAAAATGTTTTGGTATGTTGAAGCATTGAGAGATCCCTTCACTGGAACCAAGGGGCCTAAACCCAACCGCTGAAAAACAACCCCATACCATTATCCCTCCTCCTCCAAACTTTTCAGTTGGCACAATGCAGTCATGCAGGTAATGTTCTCAGGTAATGCCAGACCCAGACTCATCCATCAGACTGCCAGACAGAGAAGTGTGATTCATCACTCCACAGAACACGTTTCCACTGCTCCACAGTCCAGTGACAGCATGCTTTACATCACTCCAGCTGATGATTGGCATCACGCTTGGTGATGTTGGTTTTGCATGCAGCTGCTCAGCCATGGAAGCCCAATCCATGAAGCTCCCGGCGCACAGTTTTTGTGCTGGGGGGTAATTCAAGAGGAAGTTTGAAACTCTGCAGCTATTACAGTAAGTCAACAGTGCGCTGACAACTTTTATGCACTATGCACCTCAGTACTCGACGACCCCGCTCTGTGACTTTACATGGTCTGCCATTTTGTGGCTGAGTTTCTGTTGATCATAAATGCTTGCACTTTGCAATCATACCTCTTACAGCTGACCCAGAATATCTAGCAGGGAAGAAATTTCACAAACTGACTTATTGCAAAGGTGGCATCCTATGACAGCACCATGCTTGAATTCACTGAGCTTTTCAGAATGACCCATTCTTTCAGAAATGTTTATAAACCAGACTGCATGGCTAAGTGCTTGATTTTATACACCTGTGGCAATTAGTCAGAATGAAAACACCTGAATTCAATGATTAAGAGGTGTGTCCCAATACATTTGTCCATATAGTCTAACTATAGTAATATAATATGTTAAATAAATATGGCCCTTTTTAATCTGCTGTGTTGTCTTTCTTAATCCCTAGTTTGCTGGAGTCTCATGCCTAGTTGCTTTTTTCCTGATTTCCTTCTCCTCTTTAGATTTCTTATTCCCGACATGTGGTCGGTTCCTGACTTCTGGTTCTTGTCCAGTGTGTTCACCTATCTTCAGTCCTGCACACTGTGTCCTATGTCTGCAGCAGGAAACCGGAGTATCCAGAACAACTTAACTCAACACAGTAAAGTTGAGTCTCTGTGCCTGTGACCAGAAGATTGCTGGTTTCAACCCCGACTTTGGCAAAGCAGTCGCATGTCTGTGGGCCCCTGAGCAAGGCCCTTAACCCCCAGCTCCAGGGGTGCTGAGCCTGTGCTGTGACCCCAAGCTATGGAGAGCAAGATGGGGTAGGCAAGGAGAATAATTCTATGTACTTCTGCCAATAGGAAAAAGAGGATTTGTCATTCACACAGCACTGGATTCAAACCCTCAACCCTGGAGTTGTCCAGCTACAGTACCACCAATGGATGTGAAAAATTTTAATGTTGTCTAAAAGGTAAGCAGTTTATATGACTTAATATACAACTCTTTTTCTCATAAGACAAACATTTAAAGAAAGGTCACTACTGCATAGTGCTTTCCTTTTACTATGCAGCTGTGGCTTTTTGCATCACAAATAGGTTTAAAAATTCTTTCCAATGCTTTTTAAAGCTTGGGTGTTTTTTTCTGAAAAAGTAACCTTTAAGTTTTGAAAACATTGTTTTATTTTTC